GTGTGTAAGTATTTGATCTGTGGTTACTATGAGGCTTACATAAAACATCTTATACAATCAATTTTAAGCTGATAACAACTAACTTCAAACTCATACAGAAGCTCTACATTTTTACATCTTCCACCATATTTTATGTTTTTGATATCACAATTTATAACTTTTTACATTGCATATCCACTAACAAACTATTGTACTTATAGTTATTTTTAAAACTTTTGTCTTTTAACCTTTGTACTAGAGTTATAAGTGATTTTTCCACCACCATTATAAGAGTATTCTGAATTTAACTATATATCTACCTTTACCAGTGAGTTTTTCTTTTATATATATAATTCTTGTTACTTACTAGCATTCTTTCATTTTAGCTTGAAGAACTCCCTTTAACATTTCGTATAAGTCTGGTCTATTGGTAAAGATCTTTTTCAGCTTTTGTTTGTCTGGAAATTTCTTTCTCTCCTTTAATTCTGAAGAACAACTTTGCTTAATAAAGTACTCTTGGTTAGCAGGTTTTTTCTTTCAGCATTTCGAATACCTCACCCCACTCTCTCTTGCCTGCAAGGTTTCTGCAGAAGAATCTACTAACAGTCTTTAAAATTTCCCTTGTAAATAACAAATTGCTTTTCTCTTCTTGCTTTTAAGATTCTTTCCTTGTTATTAACTTCTGATAATTTGATTATAATGTGTTTCAGTGTAAATCCCTTATGATTCATCTTTTTTTGGTATTTTTGAGCTTTCTGGATCTGGATGTCTGTTTTCTTCCCCAGGTTAAGGAAGTTTTCAGCCATTAGTTCTTTGAATAATCATTTTATTTTTAATTTATTTTTGGCTGCATTGGGTCTTCATTGCCGCACGCAAGCTTTTTCTAGTTGTGGCGAGCAGGGCTACTCTTCGTTGTGGTGGACGGGCTTCTCACTGAGGTGGCTTCTCTTGTTGCAGAGCACGGGCTCTAGGCATGTGGGCTTCAGTAGTTGTGGCACATGGGCTCAGTTGTTGTGGTTTGCAGGCTCTAGAACACAGGCTCAGTAGTTGTGCTGCATGGGCTTAGTTGCTCTGTGGCATGTGGGTTCTTCCCAGACCAGGGCTCGAACCCGTGTCCCCTGCATTGGCAGACAGATTCTTAACCACTGCACCACCTGGGAAGTCCTTCCTGAATAATCCTTCTGCCCCTTTCTCTCTCTCTTCTCATTCTGAAATCCCTACAATGTGAATATTGGTCTACTTGATGGTGTCCCGTATGTCCCTTAAGCTATCTTCACTCTTTTTCATTCTTTTTGTTTTCTCTCTGCCCCTCTAATTGGATCAGTTCCGCTGATATATTTTCAAGTGCATTGGTCTTTTCTTTTACTTGATATAGTCTGTTGTTGAACCCCTCTATTAAAACTTCCGGTCAGTTATTGTATTCTTCGGTACTATGATTTCTATTTAGTACTTTTTATATTTTCTGTCTCTTTGTTGGAATTCTCACTTTGTTCATGCATTGCTCTCCTGACCTTTTTTGTTTGTTTGTTTTTTGGCTGCACTGTGTGGCATACGGGATCCTGGTCCCCCAACCAGGGATCAAACCTGTGCCCTCTGCAATGAAAGCACAGAATCTTCACCACTGGACCGCCAGGGAAGTCCAGTGAGCATACTTATGACTGTTATTTTGACCTCATTTGGGTAAATCACTTACTTCTGTTTCATTAAGATCAGTTTCTAGAGATTTATCTTGTTTTTTGTTTGGAACATATTCCCCTGTTTCTTCATTTTTCTTTACTCACTGTTAGTTTTTGTACATCAGATAAATAGCTACCTCTTCCAGTCTTGTCAGAGTGGTTTTCTGTACAACATGAACTTCATCAGTCAGCTTAGCTCAAGCTCCTGGTTGTCTTTCAAACCTCTGTGATTTTTCAAGGCACCATCTTTGTTCTCAGTGGCATCCAGTAGTTTTGGGTGTGCCAAGAGCCATCAGTTTCCCAAAGGGGAAGATCACAGTCAGCACCTAGATTTGTTGGCAGTCCCTCAGGCAGCAGTATACTGGAAAAGTATGCAGTCAAATCCTCTCCAGGGATAAACTGGGAGACAGGTATTTTGTCTGCTCCCTCTCTACTGAGCCTTGAGGGGATAGCCAATGCAAGTGATGCAAGTGCTCACAGGTGTGCCTATTAACAATTGCTTCTTTGTGTGCTGCAGTCCTGTGGGACTCATGAATGCAAACCCCATTGTCTCTCAGAGCAAGATGACCTGGGGGCCTGTCCTCAGGTGGCAGCCACAAAAGCTGGGTGCCAGACATGTGTGCAAGCTCCTTCCAGAGAGATGCTGGTGACTTGGTTTTATCCTTGGACTGAGCCAAAGGAACAAGGTAGGGGAAGTACCCACTGGCTCTTTGGGGCTCCAGAGGATCACAGTAAGCACCTAGATGTGTGCAGTTTCATTATGGGTATTTTCTCAGTTGCCTCATGTATAGCAGTCACTCAGCTAATCTTGGATTTCTCTCAAAGGAAATTGCTTCTTGTGTAGCCGTACATTCAGTGTATCCATGGGAAGAGGGGAACTCAGGAGCCTCCTATGCTACCATCTTGGTCAAACGATCTCAGCATTAAGTTATACTCAGAAACACAGTAATGACAGTGTTCTGGTCTACTCCAATCACCTGGTACAGGAATGAACTCAGGAAGTCAGACAGAAGAAATGTATAGGGCAAGTTATGTGGGAAAGGGTATGGAGCATATCCATGCCCTCTCTGGGCACTCTACTCTCCTAGCATCTCCACATCTTCACTATCCCAAAAGCTCTCTGTCATGCAATATTGATTTTTTTTCTTTTTAATCATATACTTACTGACCTGGGAGATAAGTTATACTCTCTTAGTTCTGTGAGTTTCATTTCTGTACATCATTTTTTGGCAACAAGATTTTTTAAAAGATTAGAAAATCCAATACTTAGAGCTAAGCAAACGTCTTAGCTGCTCATTTGTTTTCTTAAAAAAATAAAAAAGAATAAACAGTGTCAGTTAATGAAATTAACACTCCCTAACACAATACACAAAAATAAACTCAAATTGGATCAAAGACCTAAATGTAAGACCGGAAACTATAAAACTCTTAGAGGAAAGCATAGGAAGAACACTTTTTGACATAAATCACAGCAAGATTTTTGACCTGCCTTCGAGAGTAGGAAATAAAAACAAAAATAAACAAATGGGACCTAATGAAACTTAAAAGCTTCCGCACAGCAAAGCAAACATAAACAAGATGAAAAGACAACTCTCAGAATGGGAGAAAATAATTGCAAATGAATCAACAGACAAAGGATTAATCTCCAAAATATATAAACAGCTCATGCAGATCAATATTAAAAAAACAAACAACCCAATCAAAAAATGGGCAGAAGACCTGAATAGACATTTCTCCAAAGAAGATATACAGATGGCCAACAAACACATGAAAAGATGCTCGACATCACTAATTATTAGAGAAATGCAAATCAAAACTACAGTGAGGTATCATCTCATACCAGTCAGAATGGCCATCATCAAAAAATCTACAAACAATAAATGCTGGAGAGGGTGTGGAGAAAAGAGAACCCTTTTGCACTGTTGGTGGGAATGTAAATTGATACAGCCACTATGGAGAACAGTATGGAGGTTCCTTAAAGAACTAAAAATAGAATTACCATATGACCCAGCAATCCCACTACTGGGCATATACCCAGAGAAAACCATAACTCAGAAAGACACATGCACCCCAATGTTCATTGCAGCACTATTTATAATAGCCAGGTCATGGAATCAACCTAAATGCCCATTGACAGATGAATGGATAAAGAAGATGTGGTGCATATATACAATGGAATATTACTCAGCCATAAAAAGAAACAAAATTGGGTCATTTATAGAGACGTGGATGGACCTAGAGACTGTCATACAGAGTGAAGTAAGTCACAAAGAGAAAACAAGTATCGTATATTAACGCATATATGTGAAATCTAGAAAAATGGTACAGATGAACCTGTTTGCAAGGCAGAAATAGAGACACAGATGTCGAGAACAAACGTATGGACACCAAGGTGGGGAAAGGGGTGGCGGGATGAGTTGGGAGATTGGGATTGACATATACACTAACTAATACATATAAAATAGATAACTAATGAGAACCTGCTGTATAGCACAGGGAACTCCACTTTGCTGTACAGTAGAAACTAAAACAATGTTGTGAAACAACTATATGTACCCCAGTAAAATAAATAAATAAATATAAATAAAACCTAAAATAGAAACACTGATGAAAAAAAAACAAAACAAAATATAAATTCTCATTGGTGGCTATTAAACTGTGTTTCAATTACTGTTTCATGTTAATACTTTTATAATAAACATTGGCAGATTGACTCATCAGAATATGATATACAGCACTGAAGATTCATCCCAGTGTACTTAAAGGGGCTTCAGAAATGTTAGCCTGAGGCCCTTTAAGCTACCTTGCAACCTTTTAGAAGCAGTACAACAAAGAAATACAGACATTGTGAATTAAAGAGGAAAATTCCCATGAGTGTTAAAGAAATTTCTTTAGCATATGGAAGAGTATAATTCTAAGTATGAAATAGACATTTTCAAGTCTGATTCTAGCTTCCCTGAATGTGTTCCTTTCTCTCTCAGCATTTGTCAAATGTATTTGAAGTTCATTCAAGCCACTTGGGTTGCATTTTGGAAGTGGCTCATGGAAATTTAAGCAGACAGTACCCATTAACATTAATGGACTTCCTAAGGCAAAATTCCCCCATACTGGGCTCAATATTAACCTCAGTATGAGGTTAGATTTTACCAAATATTTAGAGAATACTCAATTCTTTAAAAATATCCCAAATGCTATGTCAGTAACAGAAATCCAGTTAACTATGTAAAATTCAAGTAGCACAGCTACTAGATGTGAAGGTTAGATCCATGATTTGTGAAGATTCCCACCAGAATTGATTGATACATTTTTCTCACTGCATTTCTTTTGTTCAAATGGGGTTTATAGGCACAGCACTTGTTGTCCAGTGGGACCACGTACATCTCCAGGATAATTACAACCTGGGAAGCTTCACATTCCAAGCAACCCTCCTCATGGATGGACGCATCATCTTCGGATATAAGGAAGTAAGTAATGTACTGATAATCTCCTTCCCTATTGACCTTGACCTCTCTGTCTTTTCCTCCAAGTGTCAAGAAAAGGACATTTTACAGTCATGAACCTCAGATCATTTTCTCACCTCTTGGTTTCTTTTGCTTTATTGAAAAAAATACAATTTTTAAAATCTACCGAGTAGCACTAATTGTTAATTCTTTGGGTTTTGTTTTATTTTGCATTCTGATATCCTTGGCATTCTGACCCATGAGTTTCATAAAATTATTAAATAATTATATTCTTGTGGTAGTATAATGAAATATCTCTAAGAAAAAATATTTCCAATTTGGAAGGATTTTCATCTAAATCTGATTACTTATATTTATACTATTTACTTGTTTTTGCCTTGTCAACTTCTTTGACATTTTTTGGCTATAATTTCAAAAGTGTTAATAGGCATGAAGTCTTGTGTGGCTCAATGACCCAATACTGACAGTATTCCACGACAGCTGAGTCCACAATCCCTTTGGCCAATGTTTATTGCCACCTGATAGGAAAGATTAATTAGAGATCAAAGTGACAAAAAGAATAAAGAAATGTAAACTTAGTTTGTTTCATTTTACCAAATTGACAGGGAATAGAAATTGACTAAATTGTAGCCTTTAATTTACAGGACGTCTAAATTAGAATAATAGCATGTTTGGCTTAAAACTCTATTGACAGTGTAATTAAGGTCTATTAGACAACCTAAACTTTGGGGGAAGAAAATAAAGAATATAAGAATAATATATCAGATGTGATGTTTTAGGCAGTCAATACTCACAATGTGAATTGATAATGGGCATTATTAACCCATGGATTAATGGGTATTTATAATAATACAGACTCAACATCTTATTTTCAATTGAAGGGTTATTTTTCCCTTGGGAAATGAATCCCTGGCTGTTAAAAAGATGCTGACAATTTAAAAAGGAGTCACTTTGGTCATGTCTTCTGAAATCTATCTTTTCTATAAAGTGAGGGATGGTTGTATTTCAACTCAGCAGGCCAACTTTTGGAAATCTCATAACCATGTTAAATGTTTCTGCTCTTTTGAAGAATTCTTCCACGTGGAATTAATCATTTACTTGGGGCAATAGTATACACAGAATATAATGTAAGATCCGTTCTGCTTGGTGCTTCCTTATCCAGAGCTATGTTTTGGTATTATAGCCCACCATATCTTTATATCACACTCCCTGGAAGCTGAGACAATATTGCTCAAAGGGACTCATTCTAGTTTTCATTGTAATCTAGTGTATTGCTGGGACTGCAGAATGATGTGATGGAATATTATTTTCAACATTTTTACCAACAGTGGTAAAATTTCTGTAAAGAGGCAGAGTCAGTAAGTCTAGAATCTAAAATCTCACTAATTGTAGGCTTTGTCAAAACAGAGGTTTGTGTTCTTATTGTGGTCTCTCTCTCTAGTCTTTATTATCAAAATTGTCATCTTTATTTATACTGTTCTCAATGGGTGTCTCACATTGCAGAGTAACAGTTTATTTTTCCTATTCTCTCTTTGTAGTGAGGTTGGTATTTTTAAAATGTCCTTTTCTTTTCTTTATTTAATCAAAGAGAAATTTTCCATTATGGTTTTCCTGTTTTGTCATGAGAATATTAAGCTGACAGGCAATTTTAGCACTTTCTTAATATTTCCAGACTTTCAGTCCTTCTGAATTTAGAGTTCTAAAGAAATCACTACTTTATTATTTGCCTCGCTGTCCTTTCTCTGTCCTGGTTAAAAAACAGTTACTTATTTCCTATTCTACCTCTTTGCTTCCTGATAACTGTCATGTATTTTATTTTGCTGAGGCAAATTTCTATTTGTAAAATTTGCCACAATAAGGATCGCCATGCATTTGAGGTGAGAGCTAGGTGTTCCTGGCCTTTCTAGAAAAATATTTATAATTTCAATTACATAAATATTATGTAATTGATGTATTAGCATTACATAATGTATTATCCTTGACAAAGTGCTTTCACATACATTATAGTTTTCAATTCTTCAACAGTAACTTATATTCTTAGCCTTTTACAAAGGCACTGGCACATAAAAGGTGTTTAATAAATGTGTGTGGCTTAATTATGGAGTTAGATCATACACAATTTATCTTTATTTTATCTTTATTTGTCTTTATTTATTTTACAGCTAAGCAGACAATCAGAAAGGTTAAATGACATGCTTGAGTTTACAGAGCTAGTTAAGGACAAATCCAGAACAAAAAACCTTGGTGTGGTGATCCCAAAATACCTCAACATTTTTTTCTTTCCCAAGGAGATTATGTAAAACAAGTCACAAATCTATTTCTCATTTGTTTTTTTCCAATAAATATTTGTTAATGTTTGATGTTTAGTAATCTTTTTATATGACTCCCATATATTACACCATTACAGTCCCATAAAGTCAGGAGAAGTATTCCTAATTAAGCTATAGAGCAAATGAAATTGTAAGAACCTAAGAACATAAAGAGTATAATTTTATATTCCTATTCAGATTAAATATACCGAAGCAAAGTTATAGGTTGGAAGGTAAGTGCAGTTCTTACTCTAATTAGTTGCTTTTAACTGATTAATGCCAGCTTTGTTTTATTTTATTATATTTTACGTGAGTGAGAAGAAAAATTCTGATTTATTCAGAAACTACTAATAATTTTACTCAACATGGAGTAAAATTAGTATTTCATTGAATAAATTTTTGACACAAATTTCACTTTTATTACCCTCAAATGATTTATTCCAGTAGTTAATTATGTTTCTCTTAGTAACTCTTTTTTTTTTTTTTGCGGTACGCAGGCCTCTCACTGTTGTGGCCTCTCCCGTTGCAGAGCACAGGCTCTGGACACGCAGGCTCAGCGGCCATGGCTCACGGGCCCAGCCGCTCCGCGGCATGTGGGATCTTCCCAGACCGGGGCACGAACCCGTGTCCCCTCATCAGCAGGCAGACTCTCAACCACTGCACCACCAGGGAAGCCCCTTTCTTAGTAACTCTTAATGTGCCAACTGCCCATACTAACCACTCAGATGACCTCCAATTCTGTCATGTTCCGTATGTAGTCATGTCTCCAACAGCATAATTTTTCACGGTGCAGACTGTGATAAATAATGATCAATAAATTAGAAAATACATTTGTACTTACAACAATCTTAATGAGGTTGAGATAGGGCAGTTACTACTGCTGTTTGAAATAAGAGTAAATACAGATTTGTTCAAAGAATTTAATGATTCACAGAGTCACAGTGTTCTCCTAACCAAACTGGTGAGAGAAGTAGTGGGGACACAGATTCCTTTAAATAATTAAGTTACCTCTCCCAAGATTATAGCTCTTTATTATTCAACCAAAGATTTGAAATTATGTTTTAAGTTATAGGCCCTTATTGCTACACAGCTGTTTATTTTAGTTAATTTCAAAGATACAGTTTACTTAGGATGGAAGTCAAAACACAAAAAACATATTGTTTTTTTCAAAAGTTTCCTCTCAAATTATCAACCATTCACTTTAATGCATTTTTCAATTTCAGGGTATCCATTTGTTTCTTTTGCATAGATTTAATTACCTAATGAAGTTAACCATCTTGTCATCTATATTCTTAAATATATTAATAGCAGTTCTTTTAAACTTTATAGCTAACTCTAATATCTAGATTTCCTATGGGTTTGTTTCTATCATCTCTTTTTTACTTTGTTTCTTTTTCTGTAGATTTTCATTCACTGGTCATGTCTCCTTGCATCTTAGGTAATTTTTGATCAAATGTTGGGCATTGTTTACAAAATAGTAAAGAGATGCTTTGAGGTTGTGGATATTTTCTTCTTCAAGGAAGGGTTTACTTTTTTTGTTAGGCAGTTAGGAGGGAACAGATTACTTACTACTGAGCAGGACTAAGCTCATTCACAGTTGAGCATTGGCCCTTATAAAAACTGGTATATTTCTGGTTAGCCCTAACTCTTAGAATGTAGTCCTTCAGGAATCTCCACATTACGCCTGGATGATTACTATGGACCATTTGCCTTAGTGGTCCTGAACTCTGTGTTTTCCACAACTCCATGAGACTGCCTGAAGTTCTGTTCAGATTTTCTGTCTCTAAATCTGGCTCATTAATTGTCAAATGCCTTGAAGGGAAAGCAGTGTTGGTTTCACCTCTGTGATTTCCTTTCTTTGGAATCTTGGCTTTTCAGGTCCTTGTTCTTTGACAGCCACCTGATGCCTTCAACAGATGCTTTTCATATGTTTTTTATCTTTCCTGCTTGGTCTCAGTAGTAGAAATGATGGCCTTATACAAGTTTGTCTGCCATAACCAGAAGCCCCATTCATTTTTAAAAGCAACCTCCAAATTTGTAAAATCTAACATTTATTGAGCTCTTCATATATGCTAGGCAGTGACCGACATGCTTAAAATTTGTCTCATATTATTCTCACAAAAACTAAGAGGTTGTCACTTTTATCATTTACAGAGAAGGAACCCAAAACACCCAGAGAGGTTAAGTAACTTTTCCAAAATTATGAAACAAAGATTCATCCAAGGGAATATGACTCCAGAGCCCATAGGCCCAACCACTGTACCTTAGTGCCTCCCTACAAGCTTCCTTTTCAAGAAATGGCTGTATTGCTTTATTCACTTTGACATCCCTGACAGTCTTTCCTGGTTAGTCATTATTGTAGTGTAACTCAGCCACTTGAGAGCGCAGGTAAGAATGGTTTGCCTTTCCACAGCACTTATTTTATTAATTTTTTTTAAAAAGTGAAAAGAAGTTGTGTATAAGTAAAAATAATAGTAAAAACATATGTCCTTTCTTAGATAAATGGAATTTGGAAAAATCAAATTCCCGTTTCCTATTCTGTTAATAAAAATAACTAGCTGTCATCCTAGAAACCAGATTCTTTATATTATTTTAAGTTACCATTGAATAGTGATGATTGTTTGCTTTATTACAATATTGACCTGAAATCCTTGGTCTCTTGATAATGTACCAAGGAAACTACCTGTTCACAAG